GATGTTGTATAAGAGATCCGGGGGTACACTAGTGATGAAGCCTGCGAGCTTAGTCAAGTCATCGTCTAGGTAGTATTGCGTGATGTCTGCGGTGGGCACACTGCCTGGATTTGTACGTGGAGTAAATGGAGGTGAGATCCGTATGGTTGACATTTTCTGAGTATGGTAGTGACCTGGTGCTATGTGGTAAGACTGTACAGTGTGTGAATGAACCCGGAGAAGAGAGCTTGTTGCCTGTGGCGGGGATTGTCTACTCTACTCTAGTACTTTGGAATGACCTTGTAGCGCCTAAAGTCATTGTATATCGAACCCGTTCGTGGTTATGCACAGTGCATCATGGTCCATTCGTTCGTCGAACAAGACGACGGTGGTCATTAGTGGAATGGCCGAGCCCGATAGCTACCTGTGCCTGTCTGTCTCCTTGTCGCTCGCTGTAGTTCCACGAAGGCGGCCTTTGGATTCATCGTTTTGCTGGATCCCGCGTCACGAAGGAAGTATTGGCGATTCGACGTTGCGCTCGTACCTCGGCCTGGATGGTGCTGGTTGATGGATGAAAGGTAGGGTGAAAGAGCTATCTGCTTCGGGCTAGATCTCCCGGCGCTCCGCAGCTTCTTTCCCCGCATGCTGCACCTGCCCGTCCTCCACTTTCCAATGGCTGTCCCGCTGCCACCTGCTTCCAACCTCCACGCCATCCTCCTCGTCACCAAGTCGCGGTCGCTCGGCCCCCGACTCGTCTTCCACTACCCACCGCTCTCGCCCTCAGCAGCTGCACTCGCCGCCGCGAAAGACCCGGCTTGGTTCAGGCACGACACGTCGACGGCCAGCGTCGATTCGCGCAGCTCCGACAGCGAATGGGACAGCAGCACCGACTCGGACGACGACAATGACATCGAGATAGGCAGTCGCACCAGCGGCGGTCGCGCATCGGGGAGGACCCTGACCGGCCGCGTGAGCGACAAGTCGAAGCTGGGATCGGGGTTATGGGGCAAGCAAGAGACAATCGACGAGGAGGATGCGGATGACAACAATGATCAGGACGGTAATGGACATCGAGGCAAGGGTGGAGATCACGACTGGGATACCGTGCTGGGCTTCAAGATGGATGCGCTGGAGAAGATGTTGAGCCCGAGCAAAGAATACAACAAGAGGCGCTTCGAGCTTGGCGTTGAGAGCATCGTCTTTCTCGGCGCGCCCATGTTTGTAAGGGACGACGGGCTCTGGAAGAAGGCGAAGCGGAAGAAGAAGAAGCGCTCTGACCAGCAGAAGCTTGAAGATGGCGATCTGGTCAGGAATCTCACGAGCGCAAGCGACGACGATCACGCGAACTCCCCCGAACCGTCGACCGAACCGGTCCCAGGATTCGAGCCAGGCTACGGCCACGACTCCATGTCGAGTGGGCCGTCGGAGGCTGGATCAGATGCACGCAGCAACTCGACGAGCCTTGACATCAACAACCCAGACATGACCATGTTCAACGTCGTCTTCGTGCTGAACCCGCCTGCGCTGGAATACCAACAACGTGTCAAGGAGATGTACGAAAACGTCACGCGCAAGTATGCCAAAGCACTCAAGTACGAAGAGGCGCGGTTCCAGTACGTGTGGAAGGAATCCAAGCGCATCATCGACATCAAGCAGCGCGCCAAGGAGACGAACGAGTCGCTCACGGCGACATGGCGCAAGATTGTCAGCACGTCGCCGCTCGCCAAATCTATCGCTATCATGTTCGACGCGATATCGCACGACAAGATAGCCCACATCCACTTCGATGCGACGTTCAACACATCTTTTCAGATCCCACAGGCCGATTCCACTCCCTACCTCCCCACCGCGATCGAGCCGCAGATGCCAGGTCTGTGGCTCACGACATCGAACGTGATACTTGAAGACGACGATGCGCCTATGACACAGCATGCCGCCTTGCTGCTTTTGGAGGATGCCGAAGTGCTGATCAAAGACCTGGGCGGTGATACCGGTGGCAACGCCGCAGCCATCGCATTCTATATACGCAACATCATACCCACAAAGTCGCTACTCAAGATCTCGAAGAAACACAACATATCTGCGCACGATATGGAATACATAGCAAGCCATCTTGTCTACTGGCGGCGGGCACGTCTCGTCGCTCCTCTATCACCACGCGACACATACATCGTCAGTCCAAACGCCGACATGACTGTGCTCCCGGCTGCGATATCAGTATATGCGCAGCGCTTCTCCACGTTACCTACGCTGCCCAAAGTACTGAGCATGCTCTCCGGTACACCTCGGCCGTACAGGAACTTCATACCCACCGCCGAACATCGGGAAGCGTACATGGAGATTCTAGCGTGGCTCATGCGCGGCGGCTGGGTGACCCAGTTGCGCACATTCGCTTGGGTGCGCGTAACGCCTGAGATCAAGGCGCAAGTCGCAGCAGAGATGGAGCGCGAAGAGCGCATCAAGAAAGCTGAAGAGGCGCGCAGAGAGCTGATGAGCGACAACGATTCGGTGGCGGATAGTCTCCTCTCCGACAAGCGAAGCAGCTTGCTTTCGCTAAACTCCGCGAGGACTTCATCGCCTTTGCGCCGCACGCGCAGAGATGCGGACGAGGAGATGGAGAGCAGCACGATACTGAGCCCACGACTCGGATCGACCGCCATGTCGCGTAGCGTTTCTGCGCGCACGAGTTCGGACGCCGGGAGTACGAGCAGTCAACGCACGACCATTGCGCTTACGCCATCGCAGAGAGCGGAGTCGCCATCTCATCTCGGGCTTCGAGATGTTAAACCCCATCGCCCGTCGCCTCTACATCTGAAGCCGACCTCCCCATCTCCATCGCGCAATTCGATAGTCTCGCCCACATCTCCGGTAGAGAAGCTGGCCCCACCCGACCCATCATCCTTCGCACCCACCACCATTCTATCGCCGCAAAAAGCATCGTCGATAGAAGCGCGGTGGCTCGATAAGATCGCCCAGACATTTGAAGAGGCGGCAATCATCTCGACTAATCCCAGTCCGCCAAAACACGCAGACGGTGGGTTGGGTGGCATATCCGGTAAAGAGCTGCGAGAGAGCTGGCCCATGCTGCTCAGGCATCTAGATGGTAAGCATGCGATCGAGGACGTGTCGGCTAGAGAGGGTATCAAGCGGAAGCGGGTCGCGGTGCTGTTCAATGCGGTCAAGGAGAGAGGATGGCTGGTCATTGCGCGGCATTGGTGAGTTTGTGGATGATGTCGCGGTGATGCTTGATTCGATACCCGTGTGTTGGCCTATGGCTGATTGGTTCGGAACCGTAGTTCTCTCAACCCACCTCATTCCAAAGAAAAGAGTGAACACCCTGGAGCCTACGTTGACGTTGGGATGACTACTTTGCACGATTTTAACTTGATGTAGGCCGCAGGCTTGTTTCGTTTTTTACTTGCATAATGCGAACACTCTGGTTCTTTCGCGCAACAACATGATCGCTTGATCCATAGTTCTGGGATTCATACCCACCCGTGTCATTGGTACTTCGCGAAGAAAACAAGGTCGGGCCTTGAGTACTTCCCTTTGGAAGTGATATTACGCAACGCTCAACCATGGCTTAACTTTTCGTGGAAATTTCTGCCATGGCGATACTTCATATATAATCTATCCCTCCTCTGTCTTCTTCCTTACCATCTTCGAAAGCGCAGTCTACTCTGCAACCGCTTTCCGCACCACTACCAAGTCAAACCACTACCAAGTCAAACTACCACCAAAATGCGTGGACTCTTCGCCTTCCCCTTGGCCCTGGCCCTGGCCTCTGTTGCTTTCGCCGGCCCTCTTTGGATACCGACACCTGCGGCGCCTTCAACTCCTGACTTCACTCCCAAGCCGCGCATGACTGCCGTCTCGGTCGTCGTTGCCGCTCCTCCTGTTCCGACAACCACCCACGCTCCCGCAGTCATCGCAACCCGCACGACGCTCATCACGATGGCGTCCGGCCTCGAGCCCCGCAAGCACAAGCACCACCACCACCATGACGACTACCCCGGCTACGGCGACTGTTCCGAGTACTGGGACGGCAGACTGATTACCAATTGCCCCTCCGTTATCGCCACCACGTAAGTCCTTGCTCATTATTGAAGCCAAATGAGGTTTCATCAATCGAATACAAAAGCTAACGAGATTTGCAGCCTCGACTACCATGGTACGCATCCGCTTATAACTTTGGATGGCGGGAGGTGTCTTAATCCTGATTGCGAGGGGAAGTATGGGGGGTATGAGAATTGGGTTGGGCGGCATGGAGGGAAGAAGACAATGGTCTGATAGGCTACTTCTAGAATCCCCATCAATTTCAGTCAGTACTCTACTGGGTGACGGGGTATTCACGATTATTTGCGAGATTGTTGGTCGTGTTGGGTGTTTGTAGTCGCGTTCTTTCGATTTGATATCGTGATGTTGTTCGCTTCGCTTGATACTTACAACGCTCTATGGAATTACCAAGATTCTGGGACGGAACGCCACGATGCGACTCGCTGATACCAACGTTACATTGAGGTCCTGGTTATTTCGTGCCTCCTCAGGTTTCGCCCTCGAAATAAAAGTGCTGTCTGTCGGATACGACACTAAGATACCCTAGCGCCGCTAAATGCTATCAAGGCATGCGCGAAGTTTTGCGTAAATGGGTATGCATTGCCGAACCTGGTTAACGTGTCGAAGGTGAGATTTAGGTGCTATGGGAGTGAAGAACAGTACAATCGTGGTAGCCAACGCGAATTTGCCCGACTCTCCGCAAACCAGTGTTCATGACTAGTCGGCTTCGACCCGTCGTATGGTAGGTGTGTTGATTATACCAAGCTGAAGATGTATTGGTCGCGCACGCAAGTTTGGATACGCAGTACCGCAGAAACATCAGGGCCACATTCATCGATAAATGCTCGCATTCCACTCTTTTCATTTTTCTGAAATACGTCCTTCCTCACACAGTGTCTTCACGGCAACACCTCAGATTGCAACCATATTAAGACACAAAACCACCAAGAACTTCTCTCATCACCATGAAGTTCACCACTATCTTGGCTGCAGTCACCAGCCTCTTCACGGCTTCTGTCATCGCACACGAGCAATGGGTCTACAATGACCACCGTCGGCCTCACGTGCAGCGCGCAGTTACGATACTAGGTATGTATTCCGTGCTGATGGCATGAGCTATCATCGCGGCTCCACAAACTGTTAAGCTAACCCTCCACAGCGGATGGCTATGCCCATACAGCAGAATATGGTGCTCTATGTGCACGCTGGGACGGACCCCGCTGCCTCGACGACGAGGAAGGACCAAATATCTTCGACGGGGAAGAGCGTAAACGTCAGGAACTTCAAAGCCCTCAGGAGAAGCAAGAGGAGGCCCTCAGAGAGTTGAAGAAGATCGAGAAGATCTGGGATGGATATTACGCGGAGATGAATAATCTCAAGAAGATGGAGAAGATCTACGGCGGATTTCAAAAGCAGATGGATAAGCTTGAGAAGATGGCAAAGCTTTTCAGCAAGTACCCAGAGGCCTCTGAGCTTGAGGACAGTGGCGCAAGTGCCGAAGAGATGTTGTAGGTAGTGACGACTGAGGGGGTTTTGATGGCTCCAGATACTCGCTGGAGACGTGCTGTGTGACGGGCCATAAAGCCAAATTGCATACGCGCACAGGTCATCCTTCTCGGTGGATACGTAGACATGGCAGTCGGAAGCAGGTCGAACTTAACCGTCGCACAATGAAACGAACCTGATCTCAGTATTGTGGCTGTAGAAGATACATGCAATGAAGAAGATGTGATGTCGACCTGTACTGCAGCCGCAATGCACCACGCACGTCATCCCGAGGTTGCAAGGATGAAGGCGCAGCACAGGCCACCGAACGAGGCCGATCGCGCTAAGTTTATCCAGCCCTCACGCCATCACAGTCACCACTACACTTCCACACGACCACCAAGCCCGCCTACTACCCCACGGACTCCCGAAGTCTTTTCAGTCAAAGAATTCAGCAAGTTTCCGACCGCTATGAGCAACTTTGGAGGCGCCGGACTTGGGCAAAAGGTCCAGAAGCCGAATCCGTAAGTTCTTTGCTCAATGCGCACGTCTCGTTTCGACCCTTGAGTACTCAGACCACATGGCTGCCTCTTCCCATCTTGCGAGTCCTTGTGCTAACAATCGTTGCACTTCAGGCCAGAGCGCGGCTCATTCCCTCTCGACCACGACGGTACGCTTCATAAACCCTTTACGTCCTCTTTCACGTCCCATTGAACCAATCGAACCATCTCCGCACCGAGCCGTCATCGCTCTTTGTACAAACAACCCGCTGACACGGCATTTCAGGAGAATGCAAGGACATCATGCTCTCGTACCTCCGATGCATCAAGTCGCATCGTGGGACCAACGACCCTGAATGCCGCGGCCTCTCCAAGTCATACTTGTCGTGTCGCATGGATCGGTACGTACCATTTCCTGCATCAATTCGATCAGCCATTGCTGTATCTTCATACAAACATATTGCGACACTTATCTTCCCATTAGCTTTCCACGCCATTCTGTCATTCCAATTCGGCAGCATCCGCGGAATCGCGCCCTTTCCTGTCACTTTGCCATTCTTTCTGTATCATGAGCATGTGGCTGACTATTATCGCAATATTAGAAACCTGATGGCCCCGGATTCCTTCAAGAACCTCGGCTTCGGCGAAGACAGTGACGGCCCTGCCACCACCGCTGCAAACACATCTCAATCATCACACCTCCACGGCCAAGACAAACCTCGCGGAACTTAGGATAACGCGTTGCTGTTCGAGCGAAGGACAAAGATCACGCGGTCAACCGTTCGGTAGCATCCGGAGAACGTGGCTCACATAAACCCCTCGGAATGCGTCTCCACTCTTTCTTCCGAACACCTTCGACGCACCAGACGACTCATATGCATGCTCGTGCATACGCTACTTGCGCGCTCTGCAACGAGACCGCACATTCGACAGGTGACATTGAGGGGCGGCCCTGGATCAGGCCGGCGACGCCTGTAGTGAGACAAGGGGGGTGGCTGGATGGCGGGCATTGGCATCCGTCTCCGCGAAAGACACAAATAAAAGCAAGTTGTGCACAACAAGGAAAGTCCACGACAGCTTGGCAGATGCTGCAGACACCGAGGATACTGGTGATACCCGAGCGCGCCACAACAGATGCGCTGGAAGACAAGGCAGTGCAGATAACACGGTAGCTTCATCTGAATCACATTGTTCTTCGTAGAACCTCGATAAGATAGCGGCACGAATACACCTTGTTCACCGCTACACCTCTCCATCGATCGCCATCCCTCATCATCCTGCTGTTGCTGCGACTGTCCCACCCGATCTTCAAGCGAGACCTGCAAGTCATCTCCCCACAAAATCTAGATCTAAGAAACGGCGCTGCGCTGCAGATTGGGGGGGGAGGGGGTGTAACCGTCGTATAGCCAGCTAGCTGACACTGCCGATGGGGGCACGATGACTTACTCAACATCCATCTTCCCTGCTGAAATAGTCCGGTTAACTGAGCACGTGCAATGCACATCTTTGGTAGCGCCGTGAATGCTTTGTTTTTCGCGCTGCTGGTGTTTCTGTCTCTGAAACAGTGTGGTTGTGTCTACCGGGGGTTCGTGTTGTGACGTCGGTGGCAGACGGGCTTCTCACGTTTCTGTGGGAGGGCCTGAGAGACGGGCGAGTGCGGGTTTGGCGTCGCGCAAGGCACCGTGTATCTGTCGCGACGAGGAAATATTGGCTGAATCAAGATGAGAAAGCGTTGGTCTCCTTCGCTCGACCTGATCCGCATGCATGCGCAGTGTTATGCTAGCTATACAGAACATGCGAACTAGCGATTACGACCGCTTAACTGTGCATACTATCATACCATAACGTACCTCGCTATTGACCCTCATAACACAGCTATCCACACTAGCGTGCATACGTACGCATGTTGCACGACAGATGTCAGTACCGATCCCAACACCTCACGCCACCTGCCGACTCCCTTGCAATGTCACAACCAAAACACCCCAACACCGATCGTGTCCCCCATCCCCTCTCCTTGTTCCGTCAATTGACGAGAGAGGTGGCTATACCCCTTGTAGACGCAATGCCATTGTGTAGCAACATCGCGACAAGGTTCCCCTCGCCGGTTGATTCCATTCCATTGCATGTCCTTGCCTCAATCCAACTCAACCCCTGCAAAGGGTTTTGTGTCTTCTTGCAGAATCCTTCGCCGTTCAGTTCGTCTCGCGTATGTATACGGTTACCTGCATATTCTGCCATATTTCACCCGCCCTGTTACCACGGACCCCTTCGATTGGATAACACTGCATCGTGAGCGAAGGACGTAGTAAGGATCTAGGCAGCCGATTGGCTGCGGGATCCGAGGCCGTTTTGCAGACCGATCGTAGCGTGCTTGTAAGCATGGGGGGTGATCTGCCGGCAGGATGGCGGGGACGCAGGACGCAGGATGCAGGACGGGGGTAAGTAGGTATATGAAGGAGGAATATAGGTGTTCCGCGACGGACTTCACTGCATCGCATGGCATGGGTTTATGGTATTTGTGATTGTGGGGGATGGTTTGGTTGGTGGAAATGTCAGCCGGCATATCTAAGTATTTTCTTCTTGATCTCTGAGGGTTGACCTGGAGCTGTGGGTATGAGCGGTTGTGGAATGCGTTGCATGGTGGTCTTCTACCGAACTACATCCTCCGCACCGTACGGGAATACGCAATCAAACCTCTCCCGCCCAGGTAATCCCAAACCAACCAACCAAGCTAGGTTAGTCTCTCTTCTTCTCGTCACCCGCATGTACTACTCATACACCCATATCTCATTCCCCATCCTCCACCGTTCAAGATTCACCCCACCACCCGAAACAACCGAACACCCGGTCTCACCTCCGGAACGTTTCTCGGACTTGCTCTTGAAATTGCTTTTTGTCTTTATCCCTTCGTTAGCCGTTGAGATGCGGGCGGCTAGATTTGCCTTTTCCACTTTCCCATAAGCCCTAGATACGGTATTGTTGTACGAGATCCAGCGCTACTACATATGGCGCCGACGCCACAGTTAGCTGACCAGGCAGTCCGTGTATGACAGTCTTTGCGGGATCTTGGAAATTTCGTGAAGGCGGCGGCAGTGGCGATTCGCTCGTATCCAAGGATTGTGAACGCGATGAGGCTGAGACACAGGAGAGGCGCGGTTGAGACGCAGGAATCCGGAATGTTGCTTTTGTGGACCTTTTCGTCCTCCACACTGGCTGCCTGATGGGAGGACTGTGGCGGTCGCCTCCACCACCGAACGGACAGGGTTAGCAGCGGCTCAACTAACTTCACCTCACTCGACAAGGCATGAAAGACGGGGTTATTGATGTAGATGAAATTGTATCTGGGACCAATCGGCCCATACCAGAGCCCATGAACTGAAAGGCAGAACGCGCAGTAGCAAGAATTCCCATAGGCCCACCGTAACCATAGCAAGCGTCATCCGAACGTCTTCTGCATCTATCATTCTCTTCCCACCAACATAAGTGCTGACACCATAGAACGCCAACAATCCGAAACGCGCCGACCATGCTTACATGTGCCTCCCATAAACAAAACCGTCATTAAAGAAGACAAGAGTGGTGATGTGCAAAACTGCAGGTAAACAACCGTGACACGCCACATACATGCGAGAAAGATGTAAATAGATGAAGGAAAGCGAGTCGCAGAGCTGCCAGAAGGAGACCGCCGTGTACGGAGAGTGTCGAATACCGAAGCGCCGAAGACCTTCGTGCTCCGGTTGGTAGGCTAAGCTCGGGTGATGATGAGCGAGAAACCAGGGTGATGATGTGCCACGGAGGGGTAGAACATATTATGCAACGAAATGGGAAGTGCTCTGATGCAGGCGAGAGCTTCATCCGTCCTTGGCCAGCAGAGACGGTACGCGCGCGGGCGACGACATGCCGAGGAATGGTCGACCGATGTGAGGTGTCTTTAGCCTCATTGTAGCAGCTCTAGCGTATGCATCAAGCAGGATGCAGGAACGGGTGCGGGGTATCGCGGGGTATCATAGTGAAGAAATCGACAACGAGATGAAAAGGCCGGAAGAACAAGGACAGCTAGTAGGCTTTGGATCAGTTCATGTCCATGCCGTACTCATCCTCCTCTTTGAGACTGGACCAGTACTGCTGCTGGTTCGATCCAGAACCGCTACCGGTACTCTGCATGCCTGGGCTAAGACTCTGAGGAGATGCGCCGCTGATAGGTTCACCGGCCAAGTTGGTGTGCTTGGGCACTCGGAGTCCGGAGCCAGGGCCTCGCGAGTATCGGAAGGTACCCGAGCCGTTCTTCTCAAGAGCCTCGAGGATCTCGGTCTTCATGCGCTTCTCGTCTTCAGTCTGTTCGGTAACCCACTCTTCGCCAGTGGCTTGTTGAAGTCGTGCAGCTAGCTCGTCACACTCTTGAAGCTTCTTGGACAGCATCCACATAAGATCGCGAGTCCAGCTGACAGCACCGTTGAGAATGTCACCCTTGTTCGGGCCCTTGTCCTTCTCCTCGATGGGCAGTCCCTGTGTAATGTTACCAGCGGCCCGCCTTCCATTGCCACCAGCGAGAAGTGACGTTGCTTGTGGAGGCGACATGCCGGTGGCGCCCATGGTAGGTGACAAGGGGCCATTATTATTGATGTGCTTGCGGATCTTCTCGTCCTCGAGGCGATGCTGAGGTACAAGACGAGACAAGTCGTGAATGCGCTCGTTGATGTTGTCCCGTCGGCGACGCTCGACCAGGTTATGAGATTCCCGACGCCGGCGCTTCTTGGCGTCTGCGTTCTGGCCAATATCGACCTTGGCAGGTAGTGAGTTGTGCTTGCCGGAATGCAGGACATCGGTGATCTGCTGGTGGTGCATGGTACCCTGGTGGGGCGACGCGGTGGGCGAGTCGATCCATGAGTGCGCACTCCCGGGAGTGCCGTCCCACTGGCCAGACACGCTCTTCTGATGGCGGTGCATGTTGGTCATGATTGGCTGAGTAAAGTTGCCAGAGTCTGGCGTGCCGAGGTGGAGACCAGCCATGGCAGGGGTCTTGGGTGACATGGGAGCACGGCTGTCAGAACCAGTCCGGCTCATGGTGATACGCTGGCGCATGGATCCACTGGGCATGCTGCCAGGGAAGTTCATCCTCTGTGGTACTGATTGGTACTGGTTGAAGTCGAAGTTGCCAGGGTGGTTGAAGGGGCTGTGGATGGGCAGGTCGTCTGGGGTGTTTGAGTAGACCTGGTTCATGTTTGGGTTGTTGGTGTGACTGTGGTAGTAGTCTTGCTGGCCGACCTGCTCTTGGGGAAAGTTGCTGAAGCCTGGTTGTTGTTCGAAAGTGCCAAGTGACTCGGCAAGTTCGTCGTCGGCGATACCTGCTCCGCCCTGCATGTAGCTGTTGCCGGCGAAGTGGTTGCCCATCATGCTCCCGCTCATGTTGAGCTCAGAGGGGTTGATGCCATTGGCATTCTCGTGCCCAGCGAACTGAGCGTTAGCGTATTGGTGGTTCATGTCAAGGCCGTTGTGACCGAGGAAGCGTTGGTTGAAAGACATCTCGTCGACTTCTTCTTTGATGTATGGTTGAGGTGATCCTGTGCCAGTCATGTTGAAGATATCAGCGTCTAGCACGTCGTCAGAGGGAGAGTCGAAGCCAAGGTCCAGCCTCGCAATCGGCTTTTGAGGAGAGTAGGAAGAGGGAGGAGTGAAGAGAGCGTCCGCTTGAGGGACAGTCAGTATGGTCTCGTAGTACATGATAGGAA